ATAGAGATATGGTATAATCAATTAATGAAACATTTGGAAAAGGTATATTCAAATAATATAATAACTTAATTAAAATAGATTTACTTAGGCTATTTGGCAATGGACAAAAAGAGCCAATATATTTAATTTGTGAAATATAGGTGGCAGATTAGACTGTTTTTTTAATTAATATTAGACTTAGAAGTACATTGATATAGGAAATTTAAAAATAAAATATAGGTCAGCGGACGACAGATAGCGTCGGGAGCTGCAGCGCCCGGCTTGCCATCGGTCGTATTTCTGTAACATCAATTTCAACTTGTTTAGACCGTAAATGTTAACACAAACCATTTGCCTACCACTGATTGCCTATATATTTAACATTGGTAAAGATCACCTTTAGCTAAATAAATTTAAAGAGTATATTTTGGAAATCAAATTGAAAAAGTTTGTCTCCTCTGTGACTTATTCAATATTTGTGTTTGAAAGGTCTAAAAAGTTGAAGGGTATCGCGAATTCTTTATAAATCATTTAAACATAAAGCAATTAAGTAATAGTAAATAGTAATTAAATTTTACAGACAATTTTAAGGTCATAAAACGAGTAATAAATATATTTGGTACATTTAATAAACTTTGATATAATATTTTATTTCACCGGAAAATTGTGTTACGAATTTTCGCATTGAATCTTATATTACACAGACGGTGAATGAAAAGAGTAAATGGCGCGAAATAATCGGAACTCATAGTTCTGTGTAGCTGAGTAGGAATTTATTGCCCCTCGATTCTCATAGCGGCCCATTTCGTCGACACCTTAATTTTACAACGAAAAGATACTCCTATTGACAAAAGGTATTGTTCTGTTTCTAAAAACTCACCTAAAACGAATTGCTTTTGACCGAGGTATAAGTAATAACAATAGATAAAAACATTATTTAAGAAATTTATAAACGTGTTGACATAGAAATTAACACAATATCTCTGCAGACAGACACAGACCTTTTAATAGGACATTTTCATCAATATTTTGCTACCAATATAGAAAAATAAATATTAAAAGTTATTTCAAAATAGGAAATAAAAATCTTTGTTAATTATTGGTCGCATTACATTTATATGTATAATATTCCGTTATTTATATTTTTAAAAAAGATTCTAAAAAATAAAAAGTATATTTTAGTTAATTTTAATTTTAACAAATGTAGAGACGTAAGGATTTTTTTTTCTAGATACCAAATTTAATATAACATAAAAAAAATATACGACTATAATTCTGACGATACTGACTAAGGAAATATGATATCTAAACTTTATATAGACATTCAAGAAATTCCTTTCATAGAACCTAACATTACGAACACGATAGCTGAAAGGAGTAAATGGTGTGAAATAATCTAAGCTCTTGGTTCTTGCTTGAATTAAATTTATTGTTTTTCGTGACCTTTTTCTTGACACCTTGCCATATGACGTTTTCTAGGTATCTATATCATAAATATATTTAACATTTATACTGTTCAGTTTTTAATAACTTTATAAACAGCCTAGTTTATTGAAGACATTGTTTCGATGTCATTAGAGATTGTATTTGATACTTTCGTGCGATTTTCAATTACCACAAAACTGAAAATTTAATGTAATCACGTAATATACCATAGCCAAACTCCCCATTTATAACATGTTGTTATCCCTTTTTTTGAAGACAAAGACAGGTACGACGATTTCTTTTATAAAGGGGTTTTGGTCTCAGAAGCCCACAGATAGCACGATAACAAAAAATAAATGAAAATCGTTTTCAACCACATTACACCTGCTAAGCTTTAACCATTGTTTTCAGGGTGTAATATCTAACTGTTCGAAGTGTTAAGTAAATGTAAATATTTTATTATGGACGCACAAACGACGCCTGGGAGATCAATAAAATTTGTTTGTTTTGTAAAATGCCCTCCCCATCCGCTTGATAGATTGTGTACATGAATAATTCATACACACAAACTGGAAATTGTCGGTAATACTTTCCATAATGGCACCCATCACACACCACCTTTAGTGTAAACGATGTAATTTACGCACTGTTCATAAGTTATTTTTTCATTCCCGTTTCAAATATAAAAAAGGCAATCCAAATTAAAAGAAATTATGTTTATATTTTTAAAACTTGATGTGATATTTTCTGTATTTTTGTAAGAGGTAAGAAGTTCGTCTGCCTTTCAATGTCACGGTACATGTATTCAATGCCAAGAAAGCAGAAACGTGACTCATTCTCAGCCGCAATTTACCTTGACTTTTATGAATGTGTCCCTAGAGTCTAGGGCATATACCTAAGGTATCCAGCAACCGTCTTAGAGTTTGAAATGTGCCTTTCATTTTCCACTTTTAAGATCATTAATCGAAATGAGATATGGGGCTTTGTAGATTCACGTTTACATTACATAATATTCCTTATAGGCATATGCATTAAATGATCAAGATGTTATTTATAATGTTTCGAAGTAGCCCATGTCAGTCTTTGTTAGAGAAAGGATGAATGTGATTATCCGAGCAATTGAATCATTCACTGATTCTTTCAATTTGACTTAATCATCTCGACACTATTCAATTGCTTTACAATCTTCTTCAAGTATTGTCTAAAGTATTTGAAACGTTTTAAATAACTGCGGGTTCTAACAATAAAATGGCTAAAAATAGAATGATAATGTAAATAAATAAAGTATTTCGAAACGCGGTCTAAATTAAATATTACGATAATATCCAAATAAGGAACTATGGAAAATAGAAAATTACCAAAATCTATTTTATGAGGCATACAAATTTAATTAAGAGTATTATTTAAGAGCTGTCCGAGTTTGAGAAAACAGAAAAGTTATTTGTCGGAAAGCCCCAATTAAGGGCAAAGCTTTCTGGCCTTAATCCAATAAACCTACTCATTTAGTGAACGGAATGAAAGGTAAATAATTTTAGGGCGTCGTCAGGCCGCGGATTGTGCCATGAAGTTTTGTTTTCCGGCCGAAAGATTGCTCCAAACTGTACAATATTTACTGATTCGCTATACAACAGACCAATGAAAATTTATCAATAAAAAAGTCACACATCACACATGAAAAACATATACGGTTACCCACTCCAAGCCGACTTTTTTATAAAAGAAGGGGGCAAACGAGCGGCGGGAATACCGAGGTGATCAACACCACCCATAATCACTTGGACACTTTTATATTCAGATGGTATTTATTGCTTGACCGAATGGGGACAAATCATTATTTCAATTTTTCCGCATTAAATTGCGATAATCTTGAATTTACGTTGCGAATTACTTATATTTAAATTATGAACGGATATTTTAAGTGTGACTTTGAGCCGCCCAAAAAGGAATAAGATCGAATCTCGCACTTACTTTTTAATTTAGTTTTTATAGTCAAAGGGAAGGAGTCGAAGTTTTTCTACGGTTTTTACGTAACGAGCAGTTAGCGCGACACTGAAAGTCTGCTAGTAGAAGCTGATAAAAACTTCTCCTTGCTACACAAACATCCGGGCTCCGGCGCACTCAATTACTGCAGTTTGTTGCACGACGAATTTCTCACATCGACATTTTTTAATTTACATTTCACTATCCAAGTCCAATCAAATGTTCAAATATGATGATTTTTTAAATTATTTCATATCATTTTTTATAAATTTCAATACCTGCTTCTATATTTACCCTTGTTAAGGCTCAAAATTTCAAGTTTATTTTGTATCGAAGTATGAAACCAAAGTGCTTTTCCACTTTTTTCCACAAACAACGTTTGAAGGCATATTTTTACGTGAGACCCCAAGCGTATTTCCTGCTTTTCCTTATTTCCCCCGGGATAAGTCAACTTGTAGAGGACATAAGTTCTACTGATATCGAGAAAGGAAATGCCTCAATGAGTTGAAAGACATTTTGACATTTAAAATACATTTAGAAGATTTAATTTAAGTTTTCAAAATTAAATAATAAGATTATAATTAAAAAGTGTGTACAAAATATTTGAATTGTCAATGCATTTTAATTAAAATTTGTTTCAATTTGACTCTGTTGAAATAATTATTAGCATTTATTTTTATAATATACATCAGAATTTGAAATTAGGACAGATGTAAAGTTAAAGGGATACAGTATAATATAATAGGAAACATTAAACTTTTATGCAAATCACTTACTGTTTTATTTCAACGGCGATATAAAAACGCAGTAAAATGTATACTTTGAAATTATTTTAATCTATTTTATACTGGAGCGTGTAAGGCGTCAACGTATTTCTATCTGTGCATTATTACAAACAAGTATTAATAACGAATAATTGCCTAAAACATATTTGAAAGGAGTCCCTTTAGGCAAGGTTCCGAAGAGAGAAGGGTTCGTTTTTAATATTTTATTTAATATCATAGATTTAAGACTCTTCGTGTAAAATATATAAATTTAGGTGTTTGTAGCTGATATCTTTGATATTAAAGCACATATAGTATTAATTAAAACTCTTCCATGTTAAAACTTAAACATGCATAGCTGCAACACGTGACCAAGAAATGTAGTATATTTGAATTTTCTAAAATAAAGCAAATGATAATATGTTTTGCAGATAGAAAATCGTCGTCAGAAAATTCAGCAATCAACATACACACCATACAGTTGACAGGTTTTCGCTTTGCCTATATTGACCGAATAGGCAATTCGCGACGTTTCAAATATGCGTGTACGCGACACGCGCAACGTGATTCTCGCAACCAAACAATATTGGTTTTGACGATTTACAACAATAGGTAATTTTGCATTTATTGCTATTTAACTGTGTATAAAACATTGATTTGAACTAATATTGAGTTAGATGAAACTTATTTTTAAAAAATTAAAAAAAATCAAACTTCAAACAGACTTCCTTATGATCGTCAGACACATTAGCGGAAGACTTCAAACTAATCAAGAACATGGTCCCGTTCGCGTAACGCGTACAACGTTTGTAATTTATTAGCGCTTATTCCCATACAGCAATCTGTAGAGATGGCGTCCCTATTACGCAGACTCCGTCGAGATCAGAGCTCCAGTGGGCTGCGAGAGTGGGGACGGAGCAGTCGCTCCCGAATGCTCCCAGACGTCCCGAACTACAACATAGCTCCGCGATCGACTAGTTCACCGTGAGTGAAGTTTGAATGTGCGAATATTACTGGATGATCTATTTATAATACGCTATTGCGAACAGGAGAAAGTGATGTTTAGTACTTTCACGCAATTAGAATATTCATATTAGCTATCTGGCTAATCTGGTAAGTATAGAGTGTTTAATATTTTTATATTTAATTGTTTTTTGTGTTCATAATCATAATGATAAAAATTATTCTGACGTTAATTTATTTACCATTGTGATAATTTGAGATATTTTGAATCCAATAAATTGTAAGATTTAATAAAATTTGTAACGCTTATTTAAAGAACGTTACAACTTTCTAACTTTCAAACGTTGTTCTTTTCATTTTAGGTATCTTATTATTCAGAACGCAAACAACTTTTTAATAAAAATAATGAGATATATTTTATGGGTATAATTAAAACTATAATAAGTATATACATAATAAAACTATTGAATGTTACAACTTAAACATCAAGACAGCATTCGTATTCATTCGAATCGTTCAATTTTAACGGTCAATTGTACAAAACTTGTCCTCAAGTTAAGCAAAGATTCTACTTAAATAGCTATAAATACCTCCTTTTAATAATATCTTTATAATTAATATGGAAATACTACTTAATTATTATTTTAATCAGAGCATACGTTCCAAATAAAATTATTTTACATTTACGAGAAAAATAACTTAGTCTAAACTTAATTTTAATAAACCAAAAAATCTATCTGATTGAGACTCTAATTGATGAAATAGCGCCATCTATTCGCTTCGCATTAAAACAGAGTTTTAATTTTGTTTACTTAAATTAAATAATCTTTAAGGTTATATGTTACATTATCTTTCTGAATATACTCAAAAACATAAAAACATGATTAAAGTAGTTAATTAAATAAAAAAAAATGTTGAGTGAGGTTCGAACTCATTTTTCACTAATTAAGAATGTTTTCTCCTATGTCCACTGTATGTGTCATGTATTATGATAACCTTATCATATTTCGGGAAGTATTACGAATCAAATGACACGTCACTTTTCAAAATCGATTCAATCGTATAGGCTCTAGACCGTCACAAAGGAATTTACATACATACATACCCATCTAAATACATAAAAACAAACTTGCAAACGAGCGAAAAATATTACCCTCATGTCAGACGGAATACAATAATAATAAATACCATCAAGGAGTCGATGCCACAAAAATCAATAGTTATTTTTCATGATTAAGTAATTATTAAAAAAATATATGATACTAATTTGTAAAAAATACTGCTTACACTTATTTACTAGGTCAGACAAAAGCAAAACGAACACAGAACTTCTCTTGGCAGGATTAGCGAAAAATTTTACGGTCATATCGTCGTTCGTTCCAAATTTTCAGTTCGATAAATTGTAAATTAAAAGAAAAACAACAATAAAAAACACGATGAATGGTTGGTTTTCGTTATTCTAGTAAAAGCCGCAGCAAATTGAAATCGACAAAGGTACGATCGTTAACCGAGATGATATGAATCCGTATCGAAAGATAAAATTGAAACTACCATTCGAGGAAATCGGGTACGTTTGCCTTTTATTCGAACTTTTGTCTGTAATACATACCATACATTTTGTAAATACAAATACAAAATTGTTTGTATGTATGTAAATGGTTTCAATGTTGTATACTCTTTTGTTGTATGTTCAATTGACAATAATTTCTTTTTTATGAATACTGAAGAACTCAAGTGATTGGATTCCGTCACTGTATATTCAAACCAGAAAGGTTATTTGCTTTACATTCTTCCACAAATATGGTCTAACAAGCCTAACATAAACATTTATATTTGTTTGAAGAAATCTTTTAGTTTCAAAATTACAACAGCTCTGATGTTTTATCTCACACAAAATTGAATATCACACGCACACACAAACATGAATTATAATTCCAAAACTTAGTATGATATAATGCTTGTGTAATAAACAAAATAATGAGATTTACTATCATTGAACACAATTTCCGTTTGATCAATGCTTACTTGGATAAAATATAGTAACAACATTGCATCTATGAGCTAGTTATTAGACATATCATATATATAAAATTCTCGTGTCACCATTTTCGTTCCCATACTCCTCCGTAACGGCTTGACCGAATCTCATGAAATTTTGTGAGCATATTGAGTAGGTCTGAGAATCGGCCAACATCTATTTTTTCCCCCTAAATGTTAAGGGTAGTCCACTTCTAAATTTTTCTCTTTTTTTAAACAAAAACTCCGTCGGAGTCGCGGGCGACAGCTAGTAAAATATACATCATTAGTAAATTTAAAAAATCCCCTCGCTCCTAACTCGCTCGCCAAAATCCGTTTAATAGTTGAGCATACAGCAGAGTACACACTCTTAAAAAAAGTTGTTTACCAAAAACTGCCATTAATAAAGTACTTGGTACAAAACAATAGTGGTAAATAAAGTACCCTCCTTTCAGTCGTTAATAAATATTCACTAAACAATCACTTAGGATTCGCGGTTTGAAGCCGCAAACTCACTTAACTAATATAGCCAATATTATATTAACAATTTATTTATACAGCGTGTCCCAAAAATTCAACTAAGATACAATGAACAACAATATATGAGATACAATGTCAAAGTTCTATGATGAATTAGGGCATACCATTTCAACCACATCACATAACGTGTGGTAGAATAATAGACTATTCACTTTCTTGAGAACTATGAAAATTTTTTATATTTTAAATTAAAAATGTAATTAGTATAATTTAATTTATTATTCGTACTACAGGTAATATACAACAATCGACACAGTCAACATCACTCTGTATAAGGAAAACGGACATGTCATCCGATATGTCTATGTATATACTAAGATATAGAATACTATTTAATCGAGAAAAGATACTGAAATATACAGACTACATTAAGTGATTCCCAGATATATTTATTAAGTTGGAATTTCTGATTACTCTTTTATCTCTTCACAGATTTTTTGTTTACTTGGAATTGAAGTAAAGATAATGGACAGATTAATGATAATTTATTCTACTTTGACTTGAGTCATTCAAGCAATTAATGAAACAAGGCATAATACTTGTATTAAGTTCATTAGATTAAAATATAATAACTATTCTAAAATCCTAACATTTACACTTATGAATACTTTTTATATGTCCGATATCTTATTCATGTTAATACATGACATGACAACATGGATCTGTTTATACGAAAACTTTGACTCGTTCACGTCGTGTAACAATAGAACATATTTTTCTTACTTTTTTTGAAATATAATATATAATTGTGAAAGAAATTTTATTGAATTAAGCGTATAGAAATAAAACCAGCTAAATCTATGATTACAAAAAAAAGTAACTTCACACATCCTAATTAGATGTTCTTCTTTTATTTTTTTTACATTATAATGTGGCAAACGAGCGAGTGGCCACCTGAAATCGCCGAAATAGCGAAGTGACCGTTTCTCATAGAAATACGCAATTGCATATGCTGTGCCTACCATTAATCGATGGGGGAGAGGATACACAGAAAGAAAACATTTCCATGCATCCTCTCATCCGGAAAGGGTAGGAAGGAAAAGAGGACTAAATAAGGCCTCCGAGATGCACACTCATCAGACGAAATGCGGAATTGCTTCCACTTCACGCCTGTCTTCTGTGTGGTCGTGGTTTAACCGGGCGAGCCGGGCCAATTCGTGCGAAGATGTTAAAGCGGGCTCTACCACTATTAGTTAAGATCAGTTTGAATTCTTATGGTTGGCTGACAATAGTTGAAAAAGGTTATGTATGCAAAGGTTACGTTGTGAAGTTTGGAATAGAAGAGAAACTTTTAAATGAGAGATGTCTTAAAGTTCGAGAAGAAACTTTAACTATTCGGATATGCTTTATTTGCATTTAATTCCGATTCGCTCTGATAACTTTCATATCCTTTTTCATTTAATGCGTGACCTTAAAATATTAGAAAAGTAAAATAAATTTCAATCCAAATATATGTATTTTGTTTTAAAGACAATAACTGGCCATGGTTTGTGTCCTAGGGTCACTTATATTTTAAACAAACTTTATAAAAATTATCTTCTAACCCTTTCCGTCACTTTTAAGTTCATGAAAAAAGGATTTTTAATCATTGCCACGATTTTAATATTTATATAAAAGTAAACCATTTCTTCTAAAAACTTTCCTCACAATCTCTAGTCTAATAACCTAAAAATTAATATACTAAACACAATACATTTGTTTTGTACGTATTTTATAACGTCCGCTTATTATACTTACTAATGAAAAAAGTAGTCAAAGTCACAAAACATAGAAAAATTGTAAAGTTATGTTCTTTTCTGTTTTATAAATAATTTATAATATATTTTAGATTCAAGAACTTCGACGCTCCGAATGCAACATGTGGATGAAATGACGTCAAATCAATATGGGCATTTGTACTCAGCTGTCCAAAGTGGAATTCGGAATATACGCATTTCTTTTTATCATCCATATTCAGATACTGCAAGGAGAAGAACAATCACAGTGCCCGAGTTTAACAGAGAATCCAATCTGTCCTTGTTATAATTTCAAAGAAGGTATGCATGTGGCGCCATCTATCTAAATATATAGTTTCATGTTTCTTATTAACATGGAGTTTTTATTTTTTATTTCAGGATTATTTCTTGAATGTCCAAGTGCAACACCTGGTGTAGTCAGAAGTGTACTGTTGAAGATCAAAGGAACTATACAATCTCTATCAATCTATGACCTCGATGGATCTATAACGGAGCTTAAACAGGATCTCTTTTCCCCACAAACTAAAATAGTTAATTTACAAATTTCACAATCAAATATTAATAGAATCAATCCAAATGCATTTTTGGTCATACACGATTCGTTGCAAAGTTTAAGCATAATATCAAGCAAACTAAATAAAATTCCACACGAATCTTTTTCTAAACTTCTTAAAATTGAGGCACTCGATTTGCAGTTAAACGAAATCAAAGAAATAGACGCGAATACATTCAAAGATGTTAAATTAAAGAAAATAAACTTGAAAGCAAATAAACTTGCAAATATTTCAGAACATGCATTTTATAATTTAGAAGATTCATTGACTGAATTAGATGTTACAGAAAATTTCCTGGAAGTATTTCCATTGACATCAATAGGAGGATTATACCAACTGAATAATTTAAAATTAGCCTGGAATAAAATAAAAACTATTCCAGATAATTATAATATAACAATCAATAACTTAGTTAATTTAGATTTAAACTCTAACTTATTTATAAAAATTGAAAGGGAATGGTTACGATGTATGCCAAATATTAAGACGCTAGCATTTTTTAGTAATCAAATACAAACCATTGATGAGGAGGCGTTTTATCCCTTAGAACATTTAGAAAATATAGATTTAAGTAGAAACAAGCTTATACACTTAGCGCAAAATACTTTTAAAAGAAATCTTAAAATACGTACTATAGATTTAAGCTATAATCATCTTCATCAAATTGAGGGTGTCTTTTCCAACCTTTTGCAACTTTCAGAAATATTTTTATCCGATAACAATATACTAGAAATACCATTTAATGCATTTCAAAACACACAAGGATTGACTGTTCTTAATTTAGAGCATAACGCCTTACATAAATTACATAGCAATTGTTTTTCTTCTTTAAAAAACATAACACAACTGCACATGGGAACAAATTTTTTACGAAAAATTCCAAGTGATATTTTTAAATTCAATACGAAACTGGTAACTCTTAGTCTAGATAATAATGAAATAAATGAACTGGACGAGTTCGTTTTCAGTACATTGGCAGAATTAAGAGAAATTCGTCTGCAAAACAATCATTTAAATTACATTAAGCGAAATGTATTTAGTCCCTTGCCGGGGCTATTAGAATTGCATTTACAAAATAATTTTATTACAACTATAGAATCACATGCTTTTATAACATTGAGGAAACTTCAGCATATTAATTTGCAAGGAAATTTGTTAACAACTATTGGAGATATATTCCCGAATAGAAACTCTTCATTGGTGTCGATTCAGCTTAGTGCGAATTCTTTAAATTTATTAAAAAATAGCTCGTTAGAAGGACAAACTAATGTACACATCATGTGGCTCACACAAAACAAAATAAAAGCTTTAAACGCTCATCTTTTTAGTGACTTAATTAATATTCAAAGACTTTATCTTAAAAATAATTCAATAATGCACATTGAAAGCAAAACATTTATTCGTTTAAGGAGAATAAAATATTTAGATCTTAGCGATAATAAACTTACTGTTTTAAACAACGAGACATTTTTTAATCTTACTTCCTTGGAAGAACTTTATTTACAAAATAATGATATACGACATATTGTCAAAGATACATTTCAATCTTTAATAAAATTGAAAGTACTCGATCTATCTGACAATAAGATAACTATTTTAGACTTATTTCTAACTCCGCTTCCAATCAAACAACTAAGAATAAATAACAATTTCATTTCAACTATAGAAATCAATTCATTAAAAACAATGCCCAACTTAAGTGACTTAGAAATGAGCAATAATTTTCTCAACTGGGAAAACATTATTGAAGTTCAGATACCAGTATTAAAGTCATTTGTTATTTCCAAGAACAACTTTAGTGTCCTAGAAAATACGACATTTTCTCAATTACCCTCATTACAGTCATTAACATTAGAAAGTGCCAACATATCGCAACTACGACCGGCCACTTTTATAAAGAATCAGAATTTATTACGAATTAATTTGGCTTTTAATATGCTAAGAGATTTGCATAAAGATGTCTTTGCGTACACAACGATATTGCAAGAACTAAATTTGAAAGGAAATCATTTTGCCGACTTCCCACATGTTGCGTTATTTAATATATCATCTTTGGAGATTTTGGATTTATGTCAGAACCAGTTAAAAAGTATTGATTTTTTCAAATTCGTTGGCCTTCAAAATCTAAGAACATTGAATTTATGTAAAAATCAAATATCCATTCTAAATGGTTTCAATTCTCCGGCATTAAAAAACTTGATAACTTTAAATTTGAATAATAATAAGCTAACAGTCCTTCCTCCGAATTTCTTCCAACACTCGTTAGGTTTAAAAGAAATTGATTTATCAAATAATATTTTTAAGCACATTCCAAGCAATGGCCTTTCCGAAACTGTGCTACCGGTGCTCGCTACATTGAACATGTCCCATAATCCGTTAATTCAATTACTACAAACATATCCTTTAAAACAATTCCCACTTCTTGAGGAGTTAGTTGTAACTAATACAAATTTAACTATTATAACAAGCAAAGATTTCGAAAATTTTCCATCTTTAAAAAAATTAACATTATCAGGCAACGACATAATTCGCTTGTCCCCGGGCGCGTTCTCTAAACTTCATATTTTGGAAATACTGGACCTAAGTCAAAATAAATTGGAAAATATTCCCCGAGAGAGACTCCAAGGCATATATTCTATTCGACTGCTGAATATCTCGCGAAATATATTGAGAGAGCTAGAAGAGTTTACGCCGGACTTACAAAATTTGCAAAAGTTGGATATTTCATTAAATCATTTGACAAGAATAACAAAAGATAACTTTCGTAATCTTCAAAGTTTGGTAGAGTTAAATTTAAGTGGAAATTGGCTATCGTTTATTTCATCGGATGCATTCCAGAACATACACAAATTGACCAGCATAGATTTGAGTAGAAATTACATTGAAAAAATTCAAATGAAGATGTTGACTGGATTGGAAACTCAAATAAAATCTCTAATTTTGGAAGGTACTTATATTCAACAATATTGTGATTACTTATTTATTTATTTATTTATTATTATACAAAGGTGAAGCTCAATATTCATAATGGTCGGATCAATAGTAACCGACATTCTTGTTACAACAGCTGACTATTTCAATGTGAAGTAGCGAATACGAACTGAATCCCTATCTTGTTCAAAGTTTGCTATTAGGTTTGATAAGTTAATGAAATGATGAACTCTACTGACTATCGAGCTTCGGTGGCTCAGGGGTTCAGCACTTGATTTGCTATCTGCAGGTCCTAGGTTCGAATCCCGCCATGTACCAATATGTTTTTCCATTCGAACTGATGATAAAAATCTCAAAAAAACTACCATTGAAATGTATATAAATTTAATTTCAGAAAATCCAATCACATGCAATTGCGAGTCTCAAGATCAATGGAAGTGGATGCAGGAACATCTTAAAATAGTTTACAAAGGGACGAGAAACTTATTCTGTGAACATCCAGATGAACTCCAAGGTTTCCGTTTCACGGAACTGACGCCTCACAAATTGTGCGACGTGCCCATTGTATTACGAGTCGCTATACAAGATATTCAAACATATTCAGTAATTGTATCTTGGCAGAGCCGCAATCAGACGGGATTAAGTGGATTTCAAGTTGCTTACTTTAGCGAGCAAAATACAAATAGTGTGAGTATGCAATTTTGAATTAGTCAATATTAACTTAATTATACCTAAAGGACTGGAATAACGTAATTAACTCCTAATTTAATGATAACGATGAAAGCTTGTATCACGATTAAATTGCAAATTATTGATGATAATTATATTATAGACTTTAATATAATATATAAAAATCAATTGCTGTTCGTTAGTCTCGCTAAAACTCAACAGCGGCTGAACGGATTCATCTTGTCTTGATCTTGAAATGTTCTCGGAGGTTTAGGGAATGTTTAAAAGATGTACAGTTTTAGTAAAATAATTTGATACTACGTTTGCAGATAAGAGGAAAATTTCTCAACCTTACTGCCCGTTCAACCAGACTGAATCATTTGACTCCAGGGACACGGTACTACATATGCGTAATAGCCATTGGCAATTTCGGAATATCGACGGACTCGTCTACCACAGATGCGAGAGTTGCATTACCAAAAGAAACTCCTAGTATTACATTATTTGGTGATGAACATCAATTTAATTATTTAAAATCATCGATGAACGATTCGTTAACAACTAAATGTAGCACAGTTCGTACGATTGAAATATTCGGTGCTGCAATGGATAGTCCTTTTTCTAATACGTATTTGGGTCTAGCTGATATCTTAACGAGAAGACTTAGTTTGGTAGTTGGATGCTGCATAGGTTTTATAGTATTCATAGTGCTTGTATCAGCATTAGGATATATTAAGACAAAGAAGCGTCCCGTTGTTATAAAATCTGAAGTTCAACAAACTCCGCAATATATATCGTATGATAACTTTTCAACATCCAATCCGGAAGGACAGACTACAGAAATGGATTTAAATACTATTATGGATAAAACTAAAATACAATTTAAACAAAGTTAGTTAGTTACGACATATTCCAATTTAATCTGACCCTATTTTACGATCACACAAAAGTTATAAATACAAGCAAGACATTTAGATAAATACTAAAAACTAATGTGTATTGTAATAATTTGCATTAACTGTTTTAAAAACCATAGATAACTTTTTATTCGATAATTTTTGTGTTAGAAATGTTTTAAAAAAGTCTAATTTAATATTTCTATCTATGACATGTTTTAAATGAATTAGGCAATATTAAATTACGGTTATTTATGTTTAATGTTATCAAAAACGTAAAACGTTGGTTAAAAATGATTTTTATTAAATTTTATTTATTACGTCTTCATTAGATAAGTGTAATAAGCTATGTAAATGTGTGAAATTTGTAAAAAGTAGTTATGAAATTGCTAAATATATCATGTTTATTAAATATTAGCAAAAACACACAAACATCTAAATATAAGATATATCTTTAAGTCTTCTATAATTGATAGAAATAAAATTGTCTTCACAGATATCGGTCTAATAATAACGGTGTATCTTTTTAAAATTATAATTACTGTTTTTCTATATTTACGTTATTATTTTATATCAATTTCTTTGTAAAATGATTATTTCTACTGTTTTATAAATTAAAAATATAGATTAAACATAACCACTAGTTTATTTGTAACAAAATCCCTAATTCGAGTTTTATTTACTATTAACCGTTTATCAGGATTCTCTCTTTTTTACGGAGAGTCGGCATTGTACTAATCCTCCATACATCTCTATCAGCTTTCATACACTTACGTATGTATATCCTCTTTCACACATTGTTAACCTAATTCTTATAAGCTCTTGAGTCAATTATATAATATTTTAAACGTTTAATAAGTAAGCATAATAACCCATCTTATGCAAAATACAAGAAATTGTTAATTTAACGTCATGAAGTAGACAAATCTTTTTTTTTATAATAATTTTAAAAGATAAAATAAAAGTTAAAATATTGCTCATAAAGTTATTAAACTTCCAATAACTTTTTTTATTCATCTTATGTTAGTAAAAGTTAATTAAATTAAAGTGTCCAAGAATACCAAATCAAGCAAGCACTTTTGGTATCAGGTTTCAAAAAGTGAGTTTATAACGGACAAGTTTTTTTCTTCTTGATTATTCCGATTAGGTCCTCTTACTCAAATCTATTAACTTAAACATCTTAAAAAACATTCATCTTTTACTAAAATGAATAAGTTCATTATTATAATGCAACAAAAAGTACAATATAAAATATACTCTCGGCAGCAAATACCAAATATAGAATAAAAATCTATTCGCTTTGCGAGCGCAACGTTTGATGAAATGCTAGAAGCCGACCACTTTTTCAATTACTAAGGTTTGCAAACGGAATATGAAATGCATACACCGGGAATCTATTCATGCGGAACAAGTGAACGCACAATAAATGCGATGCGACGCCGGTTCCCCGGAAACGATGCCGCCGCCACCGCTGCCGTATCCAAGCAAACAAGCCATAACGACACTCAGTTACACTGCTTTCTGTATCACAATTTATGTAAGTAAATGACCAAGCACATTCGTGTAGAAGTAGTTGTTTTCAACGCAGTTATCCCAAGTAGAAAAACAATTGGAAATATATAAAATAAACCCGTAAGTAGCTGTTTTTGGGTCTCAGATTAACGATTGTTTTAAGGTCTCCTCAGACAATAGACTCATTACATATCAAATTTATAGTCGGAAATCTTTTGATAGACTTAAAAAGAAGTACCTATAGTATAGTATAGACTAGTAATTTTTAAAGGCGAATGTTCGTCATCCTTGAATTAGCTATGAAAACTTATAAGGACTTTGGTAATAATTGGTCGCAACAAGAAGGGCATAAGTAGTTTGCGTACAGTTATGTCACAATTACATAAAGAACACATGGCCCAAAAGTAAATCGGGACGGGAAAAGACGCCATCTGTTCCAATCCCTTGAAACGATTTGTCAATTCTTCCCGTCGAGATATAAAATGCTATTTTATTATATAATTTTTCACACAATTCGAAGACATCTAACTTCTTTCCCTATATGTGAAGATTTGATTTTTTTTTAAACCGTAGTTAATAAATGTATATAAATTTATAGTCATTATTGAATTTCGTAATCTCTTTCACAAACAATATTTTGTTTTTATTAAACGGAACACAATATATAGGCACTCGAGTAATACTGGGAATTCGTTTAGAAAGTAAATATTTATTATCAGAAGAAATATACGAATATAAAGAATAAGATATGAATTAGTATAGTAGTTTCATTATTTCGTCAATTTCTTAAAACGTACTGTGGAGCTTCAATTAGCTTAATACTTCAATCAAATTTATAATCTAGACGTTGTAGTTCCTTTTCAGTAGAATATGACAATATTTCATTTTATTTATGTTGCTATGCCAAAATGTTATCCATTTATTTACCGACTTTTGACCTTTTCCTCCGATGTTATTCGGTTAACTGAAGGCATAGCTACTGAAGCGAAAAACAAAATTTGATTCGTTTTATTTGTTGTCTGCTTTCTTATTGTGTTAGCTATAATTGCACCTTTTTCCCTTTTTTCTTGTGATATTTCTTTCGAATAAATCTTTGCTCTCTAAACGATTCTTATAAAAGTAAACTAAACAAATCTACGGATGTTAAAGTACAATATTTCGACATGTAATAATTATTGTGAAACATAATATAAAATCTGTTCTGCCTCTTTACAGTTGTTTTAATAGATAAATTAAAATGTATAACACAGAGAAAAACTGGACAATGGATCGGCAATTATATAGTGTTGTACTGAATCCCGGATAACACCGCGTATCCACAGATTACATACAGTCTACAAGAAAGATGTTTGTTAGTTACTATTATGGTCCTGATCTGCAACCTTTTAGGAACCAGTTAGGAAGAATTTATCAAGAAGTATAAGAGGAGTATGTTATAAGAAATGTTTAATGTTTGAATGCAGGACAAGAATTTCTAGGTAAAGAATCTATGGCGGCGATATGTGTCTAATATTTCAAAGGCGTGTCGGATCGAAATGGGAATGGAACAATTTGGCAAAATTCCTATCCCTACGTAATAACTGAAGTGGTTTCTATCGGAAATTGGTGATTCGAGATGGGTATTCCAACTCATTCTCTTATATGAAAGGACTGTTAAATTTGACTTTCAAAATTCTGAACGCAAAATACGATTTATGAATGCAAATAAATGAAACGCCAATGATTGTTCATTTTTTTTCTCAACTCTCGATACGTATCTTTTTTTTGTCTATGGACGACGTGAATAATTTTGTTACGTAATTAATAAATATTCTATTCAAGCTAGACTCTAGAAATGTGTAACTAGATTGTGCATATCTCTCATACATAATCAAAAATATCTGCATTACAAATGAATACCAAGTACCGATATAAATTTTTATTTTTAATACTTAATAAATTACAATATTGTAAAATGTAATTAATTTTCAATGAGAATTTCGAAGTTTACTTCGTTAAAGTCCCAACTTTATTCATTAGCGTGTATTGTCTGCAGAATTTATCCGTCAGGTCAAATACTTTCCGCTACGAACATTTCACGCCTCTTTAGTAAGCTAAACTAAGTCTAAATTCACTTTACTTAAATTGTTTTAAATTATCTTAAGACTACACAATGTTATAGATACATTTTACTTGTCCAAACTTTCTTTTATCCTTATCTATTCCTATATAATGAAGTGGAAAAGATTAACCGCGCTAATCACAAGAATAAATGACCCTATTAAAAAATCACATTCTTACTTATGTCAGATAACAATAAAAAAAAAGTACTTGAACTTTGAACGGTAAAAAAATGTGTAATTTTTTCCTACCTTTTCGAATATTGTACTGTTTATTAAGTTATTAGTTAAGCAACCTTTACTAGCTGAAATAAACTTATTTTACTTATCGTCGGTTTCTGAGCTCTTATTGCTTTCTGTTTTATCAAAGTGATAGGGATGACGATACGTTTTATAAAGTGATATTGGCTTCAGAAACCAAAGGTAATTGAATTAAAGTAATATCATTTTTATAATCCACATTGTTGTTTTTTCCTGTTCGGAATGTACGTAACAACTTTTGTTAAATATTGAATATGGGCAGCGTTCCAATAGATTTGCAGACATGCAATTTACTTCGGTTTAAAATCGTTTTCTACTTTCAAGCTGACCATGCAGCTCTATGCCTTTGATGCAGCGCCGAGCTTTGTTGCTTAAAACTTATATCTAATACACAATGATATTAGAAAACCGTTTCGTCTTAAACGAATTTTTAAATCAAATTGTATCAATATAATCTGTAATGTAATTAATCAAATCTTTGTATTATAATTTTTTGATTATAAACAATCAGTAATTATATATTAATTATTATAGTTAAATAAGTGAAACATGTATTTTTTTATGTTCCAGTCTAGGTTTTTATTACTATGTCGATACAATATTATACAGACGTTGTAACAACTTCCACATATTCAAAACTTAGATCGAAAATTAATATTGTTCAGTATTCTGTTTTCTAATAGATATTAATAACAGAGCTGTAACTTTGGATAACGGACATGCAATAGTTTGGTAGTTGACTGGCAAGTTTAATAACCCGACGTAACCACGAGGGAAAAGCTTACGTCCATGCTCGCGTTTAACCGTTAATAAATAATACACACAGACAACCACTTACTTCAATATTATATATGCACTTAACTTAATTCTTTATATTTATGGGAATAATTAAGAATAATATAATTATTCATTATTATTTCTTTGTTATTCTAATTATTCATGAAAATATGTCACATACACGTAATTTTATTTCAATTCTCTATTAAGGTACTTTTTGAACATTCTAACAATTTTGATAGCAACAATTTAGATATATTAAATCAAAAGTTTAATTCATATCTATCTATACATATAAAAATCAATTGCTGTTCGTTAGTCTCGCTATATTCCAAGTTTGCGGCCAACCTTCAAGACTGAAGAGGCACTAGAAGAAGAAGAAGTCTCGCTAAAATTCGAGAACCGCTGAACGGATTT